TTCATGGTGGTTTTTCTCCAACAGCGTGGAGTGAATTAATATGCCCAACTCTACTCAGGAGACATCTTAACATACTGTGGTTAGATTATCATTTAACAGTTCAGTGTGAATAGGTATTGATATGTTACTCGCAGTAACATATCAAGCCTACTGATTTCTCTTTACGGTTTGGTTGTGTTACTTTTCATCATTTTCATACTTTCAGATTTTTGTTTTGCCAACAAAAAAATCCCTCAATAAGCACACAATAATTTGCAAATGTTATTTGCGTTTTAAATTTGCATCTTGCATCTTTAACAGAAATTTATGGCATCTGCTTTATACTTTCTCTAACCTTTGGGTTTTGTCTTTTATTATACATGCTAGTGAAATGTTGGCTTTTTACACTCTTTCAGACACCTAGAAAATCGTGTGTCATACATACTATGTTTTAAGATATCAAAGAAGGTGTTGAAGGACTTGTTCTCTCATATGAAGATAAGATCCAGTTACAATAAATTTCTATTACAAGTCTACAAGCTTTAAATAATTGCTTTAGTTTTGTGTTTGGTGCAAATAACTGCTCATGTCTTTACAAGCAAGTTCCTTTTTGTGTCCTGGTTTATGTTAGCAATGAATTGCTCACCACTAATAAAGATAATTTTGAACGGTTGATGCAAAGTCATAAAGCTTTACAGATTCTTTCTAGAGGAAATAATCTGTAAAGCTTTCTAGGTTTTAGAGAAAACACGTAAAAAAGCCAGTTGCATTTGTCTCAAACGTTTGACACAAATACTGCATTTTAGAAGTTATTTTATCTCCCACTGCTGATGGATGCCGATCTTTATTGCAAGCAATAAACAATGTTTAATTCACACTGTGGTTTCTAAATGTCTTTTAAATCAAGCATGGTGCGATGAAAATTGTTTTTGTTTTTTTTTTGTCTCTATTTGATTTAAGAGACATTTGATCACATCAAGTCTCAAATTTAAGCTTTTAAAGTCAATTGATATATCATCTTTAAAAATCAGTAACTTAAAATTGCTTGTTTATGAAAGAAAAATATTTTTTTTCATTTGATATTCTGAGGGCATGTATTTTGAGACTAAGATTAGTTCATTTGTGATGCTGCTCTCACTCAAAACTACTTTCATTTCCACAAAGGGTTTTGCTTGCAAACAGATATCAGAAGATGCCACTAAAAAGTAAAATTTAATCTTTTCTTTTTTCAGAACTCATTTAAATCCTGCTCCGTGTGCTCAACCCTCTCTGCTAGTGAATAAAGTCTTTGCCCTCAGCTATGTTCTCCATGCCAAACTCCTTGAACAAAGCAGGGAGAGGATACTTGAACAATATGCAAATCTGAGCCTAAGAAGTTACCTCTGACATGTTTTGACTTATTAGTAATTGTGTATGTAAAATGTTTGGGTGTTTTAGTCAATTTTGTGCAGAAAATGTTTATCTCGATTTATGAACTTGCTTTAAATGTCAGACAGAGATTTTAAAGTGTCTCTTTCCTAGCAATAAATTGCAAATGGTGAAAATCCCTCAGATCGTAAAGGAAACATGTTGTGCACAGCCTGCAAAACATCTTTGATCACCATGCACATTAAAAGAAATTGCTCAGGTTTGTAGCTGACATATGTTTACAGACAGACCAGTGACAACAAGGATTAGGAGTTTTGTGCATATTGGAGACACATTCATTTTTGTTTGAGATGAGTTTGAAACAAATGTAGGTCCTGGTAAAGATCAAATTAAAACTTTAGAATTGATGGAGTGTGTGTGTGCAATTGCTTTATTTATTTATTATTTTTACTATGACTGGTTAACCTTGCCCAGCAGATTCTTACTTGCACTGAGGTCATTCTGGAGAATTCCTTGGCTTCATGAAAAACAATATTGCTGGCTTATGAGGAGGAACGGACAGAAATGAGCTGAATGCAGACAGAGGAAATTATTCTTTTATCTGTAATCTTTAACAGATCATCCCCAAACATGATTTATCCAGTGCAAACTAATAAAGGTTTTTTGGAGAGCATCAATATCCTTCAAGGTGCAGTGCCTCTCGCTGAGAACCAGTCCAGCAAAATGTATGACATTATTCAGTTTTTTTTCTTTTTTTCTGCAGCTCTCCAGTATTATTAGCATCACATTGAGCCTTTGTCAAACCTCACTTGACTTCTTAAGGGATTTCAAAAGATCACTGCTGCAAGGTCAAGGATAGAGGCATTATTGAGGAATACTTTATTAAATGCAAAGATTGAAGCAATAAGGAGAAAAGGATCAATATATCTTTTTTTTTTGTGGCAACACTTATTCTGTTCATTCTGTAAATATGCAGTTTTGTGGAATGTATAAAAATCACAAAGCAGGGATGCATGTTTTGCAAAAAATAATCTTGACAAGAGACATAAAGGTGTGGCAGAGACTTAGTCTTAAATCAGTGTAGAGCGTTTGCATAAGTCAGTAAATAAACTGTCATTCTCAGCCTAAGCTAGCTCTTTTGCATATTCTCCTAATTTTCCTCTGTACCAGCTTCTCCTCTCCTTTAATAATCAGCAGTTGTCATGTACAGTCATGGCCAAAAGTATTGAGAATGACACAAATATTATATTTTCACATGATCTGCTGCTCTCTGGTTTTCATGTGTATGTCAGATGTCATCAAATACATAAATACAATTGCAATCACATTATGAGTAACAAAAGCTTTTATTGACAGAATAAGTAAATGCAGCAAGTCAATATTTTCAGTGTTGACCCCTCTTCTTCAGGACCTCTGCAATTCTCCCTGGCATGCTCTCAATCAACTTCTGGACCAAATCCTGACTGATAGCAGTCCATTCTTGCACAATCAATGCTTCCATTTTGTCAGAATTCCTAGGTTTTCGTTTGTCCACCAGTCTCTTGATGATTGACCACAAGTTCTCAATGGGTTTAAGATCAGGGGAGTTTCCAGGCCATAGACCCAAAATCTCTATGTTTTGTTCCCTGAGCCAGTTAGATATCACCTTTGCTTTATGGCAAGGTGCTCCATCATGCTGGAAAAGGCATTGCTCATCACCAAACTGCTCTTGGACGGTTGGGAGAAGTTGCTCTCAGAGGACATTCTGGTACCATTCTTTATTCATGGCTGTGTTTTTAGGTAAGACAGTGAGAGAGCCGACTCCCTTGACTGAGAAGCAACCCCACACATGAATGGTTTCAGGATGCTTTACAGTTGGCATGAGACAAGACTGGCGGTAGCGCTCACCTCGTAGCGCTTGCTGGTGTTTCTTGGGCGCTCTGGAGCCTTTTTGGCAACAATGGGACCTCTCTCCTTGAAGTTTTTGATGATGCGATAGATTGTTGACTGAGGTGCAATCTTTCTAGCTGTGATTCTCTTTCCTGTTAGGCCATTTTTGTGCAGAGGAATGATGACTGCATGTGTTTATTTAGAGATAACCATGGTTCACAGAAGAGAAACAATGATGCCAAGCACCAGCCTCTTTTTAAATTGTCCTTCTTACTTAATCATGACAGATTGATCTCCAGCCCTGTCCTCATCACCACCCACACCTGTGTTAATGGAGCAATCACTGAAACAATGTTAGCTGGTCCTTTTAAAGCAGGGCTGCAATGAAGTTGAAATTTGTTTTGGGGGATAAAGTTCATTTTATAGGTAAATATTGACTTTGCAATAAATTGCTGTTATGCTGATCACTCTTTATAACATTCTGGAGTATATGGAAATTGCCATTATAAAAACTGAAGCAGTAGACTTTGTAAATATTAACATTTACAAAGTCATTCTCAAAACCTTTGGCCATGACTGCATTTCCCATTCCTCTGAATTTATTCCACTATGCTCTTCAACTTTCCCCCAAGTCTCTAAACGTCTGTGAGGGCTTGTCAAAGGTTCAATGCAAGGAAGATAAAATATTTTTCACGAGGCCAGCAGGCAGCTGCAGCAGCCTGAAACCTGCAGAAATGTATGCAGGGTGAATTTTAACTTAATTCAAGGAAAAAAAAAACAAAAAAAAAAACTAACAGTTGGGTTTAGCTGGTCAAAGACCAGTTACAGAAACTACATATTTACAAAAAAAGGTCTCATTCTGCTTATAATTACTTTACTAGACTGCCAGACTTGTATTTGTAGCCCCATGAGCCCATTTAAGTAGTGATCTCCCTAATGTTGTTGTAGTGACAGCAAGGGAACTCTTGAATATGAGCTCCAAGACACATCTGTGATCAATTACTGCAAGTAATTCAACCAGTGAAAGCATTTTAATAGGTGGGTGGTGGAATGATGGTAGAAAGGAGCAGGAGAACCTCAGAGAGGGGCAGAGGCTGAACTAAAGGCAATACAGTTCTATTTTAGTTATTTTATTGTTTAAAATGTTGCATTTTCTACCTAGTTTGACTTATAAAAAGGTTTTTCTTTACAAAAGGCAGCTGTGCACATTATAAAAGCTGATTGCATGTCTAAGTGACTGAGCTGCACTTTAATGTGAGCTGATCTGACGGACTCCATTCAATCTGCATTAAGTATATGCCACTGATGGAAGCCAATAACGCTACTAGGAAGCTTTGAATGTCGGCAGAAATTAAATCATGCTCCGGTTCTAAAGAACACTGATGTTTATTTAAGTCTTTACCTTATGTATTTGATTGCCTTTGATTGTGAAAGCTTACATGATTTTGCTTTGGCAGAGGCGTTCAGGTCCGGTATGAATGGTCAGCTGTGTGGCTTTCAGAGCGAAGAGAAATAATGAATTATGTGAGCACTGAGAGCGGGTTTGTGGAGCTGACTAGTGCGGTGGCATTATTAATCACGCAACACTTATTTTTGTTCCTTGCTGAATTTCTTTTTTTTTTTTTAATTTATGATGAATCTGTGTTACTTGGCTTGTCACTTTTGTTTTGCCTTTGTATAATCTAACATTCATATTCAGATACCAGCCTCTCTTTATTTGGACTTCTAAATTCCCCTTTTGTCAAAAATTACAGTAACGATTATTGTTGTGTCTGTTTGCACAGATCCATCACCTCAACACAAGCAGAAACCCCCAACCACGGACCTCTGCTACAAGACTGAAATCAGCAGTCTCATGGACTTCAACTCTCCTGATGCCTCATTGGACAAAGGTACAACTCATGTTTGTGACAAACTGAAGCTTATAAGCCTGAGCTATTCTTTGTGTTCAGATCATGCAGCTGGAATTGCAGAACCAATGACTTACTAATCAATATGTGGAAAATGTCCAACAATATTGCTATCCAATGACAATATTCTACATGTTTTTCTTTGCATACACTACATTGATCAATCTATTACTCAGGTTACAGAGAGATGATGAAGTAAAGCTGCTTTTCACACTGCAGATTGTGCAGCAGATGCTCATGACATTTCTTTGTATATTAATAACAGCACTGACTTCTACATCCCCTGTTCACACCTAGATTTTCTCTGGCACACCTTTGCATAAATTACTGGAGTGCAAATATATGCAATTTTGAGTACAGCACAAATTAGCAGCTGGATTTTTCTGTGAATAAATTTGAAATCTTTTTTCTCAAAACAATTCTGATAAAAACCTGAAAAACAAGGTACTGTCTTTTTTGCCTCTGGTCTTTCAAAACTCACAAATATCTCTGCTATGTGAGCTTTCCAAAATCAATGCAGTTTTGTGGAAGCAGAGAAAAAGTGAAGCCAACGTTAGCAAGGCAAATACAAACCCTTATGGAGGAAAAATAAGTTGGCATTGCTTTCATTTTAATTTTTAACCCCAGTGGTCAGGCGAGGAGAAACTGCACTCAACAACAGAAGTCCAGAAACCTGTTCTGTCTTGAAATTATCCACAGCATGTGGATGGTGAGACAACATGTGCTTCAAACACACATTGCGCAGTGGTAGTCTCTCTGTGTGTGTTTTTGCTTTAAATCCTCTGCCAGCTGCCCACACACATCATCTGTAAATCGCAGCATCACACACTTGAGCTGCAACACCGGATTAGCCTTGTACAGGTTTGCTGATAAAGAGCTATGATTCTACTGTGTTAGATGAGTCTGGGGCATGATGGCAGCAGGCTTCTATCTTTTTACCACAGTCGCTGTTGTTTATATATATATATATATATATATATATATATATATATATATATATATATATATAAAAATAGTTACATCTAGCAAAGTCCGCATCTATTATTCAGAAGTGGGATCCACTCAATTTTATGCAGAATTTTAATGCAACATATCTGTGTGCATACAAACATTCTCCTGCAGCAGGCAGCGGTTTGTGCATTAGGTCCATAGTCGTTCCCTAAGGTGCTACAAATGCGCTGACTCAGGAAAATCACAAATACGTACTCAAAACCCCTGCAGTGGCCAAGGCCACCATATATCACTACAAGTTTCATCAGAATGAGAACAGGCAACTAAGGTTGATGTTATCAGCAAGTTCATCTCTGTTCTCCAGTAAAAACAAGAGACGGCGAAGGGGAGCGGAAACGAAAGTAAGCAACCAGCACTGGATCATTACGGAGACAGGTGCTGCTTCTGCACATTAAGTGGCTCTAAGGTCAGCGGTGGGGCGAGGCTGGAATGTCTGCTGGTTTAAATAGAAGGTCAAAGCAGCGAGGTCAGAAAGTGCTTGCGGAAATAAAATTTAAAAAAGAAAAAGAAAGAAAATGGATTTGGAGAAAGAAGTTGATAAAGAGGATGAAGTAGGAGAGAAAAAAGGATGAACGCAACTGTGAAGAGAAGGAGGACAAGGTGAAAGATTGCCTGAATGCAGTCTGTGTTCTGATTACGAAGTGAGAATCATGCAGGGGAGAGGTGAGTCGAGATGCATAAGTGAGCAAAAAGAAGAGAAAATGTGAATGTGCCAATGCAAGTGAATTCTATTCTTGTTTCTATCACTTAAACCTAAACCCTCCAAGTGTCACTAACACGATAAAAGAACTTTACGATTTGAAAAGATGAACTACTTCTTTCATTCTGCGTACATAAAAGCTTTTAAGAACAAATATTGCTACTCTACTGCTATAAATTCCACGGCGTTGCAGAGTGTTGCAATTTTTGTCTGTGGTAATTGGGTCCAACACTGGTGCCATCTTGTGATGTAATGAGGGTAAGTCAGAATACACAATACTAAGCTTGAGTACACAGAAGTGGAGGAAGTTGTGAGCAATTTCAGCAAAGATTTGAGCAATTTGTCTGCAGTTTTGTAGGAAGAAACTAGATGGAGTGATGAAGAAGAGTGAGCGGGTTGTACTGAGGAACAGCAACCTTATTTATTGAGACGTATAGTTCAGGAAATGACTCCAAAGTTGAAGTTGGCATAAAATCACTTTTCCATTCTCCTTTGAAATCCTTAACACTGAAACCCAACAGAAAACAATATATATATATTTTTTTAGAACTCACTGCAAGATGTCAGGGTTTGCAAAACACTGGTGTTTAGCTTAGAATCCGCTGTTCTGCGTGAAGCGGATCCTGGTCCTAATAGTTGAGTTAGAGTTTATCACCTTACAGATTGATTTTCTTTTTATCAGTTGTCAAATGATAGTTTTAAAGGATAAAAATGAAGAAGCTGTTTTTCATGTGAAAAAAAAATCTCAACTCTTATACCTAATACCTAGCTGTGCCAGCCTTGAGAGTAATAGCTCCATCAAGTGATAACTAGTTGTCAGTCTTTTATGTCACTGAAGAAATTAGTTCTTAAAGCATTTTTGTGCTTTGAGAACTTTCTTAAGTTTATATCACATCTCAAATGTAACTAAAACCCATGGATGTCATTTTTGCCCGGTATTTTCCTTAATTATGAAGACTGACCTTATCTGAGGTAAATGAGGCCTGCGGCGCTTCGAATATTCCTCAGAGTTTTTTTGTGACCCCCTAATTGAATTTTGTATGCACTTTTGGATTTATTTTGAAAGACTAACCACTCTTGGTAAAGTCCAACAATGTTGCATGCTTTCTCCATTTCTGGATAGTGGCAGTCAGAAATCAGACCACATGTGGTTAGTAATATTGATCTTTCCAAAAATGTGGGAAATGCATTTACACAATGGGGTTGATTACTCTTCACATAGAACCAGGTTGGTGGTGAATTTTCTTTCTTTCGATAAATAAATGCATGATTGAAACTGCATTCTGTTTTACACAAGTTATCTTTGTATATACATCTAATTTTAAAACTTACTAATGACATATTTTCCAAAGCTGATCCAAAGCAGAGGTACTGAAGAAAATAAACATGAATAGCATATATGACCATGTACTGTTCTTTATTTTTTAAAATATTAGGGTCTTATAGCACTAATGTTGAAATTAGAAAATTTACTTCTCAGGAAAAGCATATGTATATTTAGTCATATATTAAAAAAATATATAACTTGGTAAATTGGTATCAGATCTCGTCCTTGATTCTGTATGACTTTAGTTATCGCTAAACATTCCCAAAACTTTGAGGGAATTTCTGACTCACATTTGTGCACGACTGAGGCAAGGTGATGCAGAGGTGTGCCTTCTATTTCTAGAAGCCACCTTGGATTCAGGCTTGACAGGAGGCTAGCAGGTCTGGTGCAATGAGTCACTTGTGTTATTACCGTCTGCTCGCCCTTCTGATGACCATTTAAAGAACAGACCCACTGGCAGTGAATCTTTGCTGGCATCTGCTGTTAGAGCTGGGTCCTTGGATTCAGACCCAAGCAGCACCTGATGTCTGGTGAAAGCACTGACTGTGATGGTTGGAGGGAGATATAAAGGAAAAAAGAAAAGCTGAAAAGAGCTGAGCTGGTGGTGCTAGATGTTATATAAGATCCCGAGCAATAATCACCAGATTGAAAATACAGAACAGCAGGAGGATTAGATAAGACAAATGTTTCCTGTAGATCAAAATGTTTGACAAGTAACCTTTAAAAAAAAAAAAAAAACTGCAGTGAGGGGGGATTAAAAACATTTTGGGAATTCAATTAAAATGGTATTTTCACAGAGGACCCTCACAAACACTGGCTTTTCATTTTTCACAAGTGTTGTTCCTCCTACTCGTCTCCTATACAAGCAGACGGTTTGTTACAGCCTAAATAGCCAGTAACAAACCATATAAAGTGAAAGTTCTTCACCAAAACAACTCTTGTTGAACTGGACTTGTGCAGCTTGTCAGTAACTTGTCCACCCACAAATGACTGGCTATCTGCGCTAAATATTTTGCATAAAAATACAAAGTAACGCCAACAAAATAAGAAAAATAACATCTGTAGAGTTCCCAGTGCTGATCATTTTAGTTGGGAATAATACTGCACTTTTCAATTGTTCCTTTCAATTCTTGTCATCTCCAAAGTAACGATGTACAACTTGTTGGCTTCACCATGTACTCCTGCTGCTCTCTTTCTGCCGCTAAAGAATCCATCCTCACGTTGTTCTCTGGAGAAAGTTTGCGGCTGCACAACAGTGTGGAGAATTATCTTTTCTCATAGCATTTACAAGAAAGGAGCTAAGTTATTTGTGCCTGATGAAAGCTATACTTTTTTTCCTGGTCTGAACCAAAGTATAGGTGAGCATTGGCCCAGGCCCACAAACGAGCCTAGGCTGGGTTTTATTTGTCCAACGGCCTGTAACCAGTGTGGGTTAGGGAGATGTGGTGGGAACGTTGAGTAACCCCGTGTTTCTTTCAAACTCAAAAATTGTGATTAGCCAATAAAACCTGGTTTGTGAAATTGCTCAGATATACTCTTGAATTGTACTAATAATGTACTATTTTAATATCTTTGAGAACGTTATTTAAAGCATGAGATGGTTTCCTTTTGACTTCAACTAGTATAATGTGCAACAATAAGAAAATCACTATTTGCTCAGAAAATGCTTTGAAATGCTTTGAAAATAGAAAAATAGAAAAGCAACTTTTCTCCATTTCTGCTCTGGTGACTTGCTCCCACGTTTCTCTTGGCGTGTGATGACAAATGTTTGCTGAGGAATTTTTATTTTTCATTTTGTTTTGCTCGTTGAGATAAAGTAGCGTTTCAATTCCGCATAAAAAGTTGTTTTTATTTTAGATGGATGGTTTTACTTTCGTCCGTTTTGTGACATGGAAACCATGCTGCCAGGTGAATTTCAACCTGTTAACGTGTTGGCTGTGGCAA